CCGCCGGGTGCTGGCTGACGCGCACGTGTGGCCGCGCGAGGAGACGCGCCGCGTGGGGGTCCCGGTGCGCATGCGCCCGGCGGGGGAGGGCGGCGAGGCGGGGACCGGGGCCGGTTCCGCTCGGAAGCCCCTGGAGGCGGCTCCTGCTCTGGGCTCCTGCAGCCTTGCGAGGGGCGGTTGTCTCTGCTTTCTCCAGTGAAAGAGCGAAGATGCAGCCCTCGGCCGGAGCTGGCTGCTCACGTCTGCCTTCATGAGTGGGGCCTTCGGAGCCATCCCCGTCTTGTTGAGGCAACCGTCGGGATACGGCCTGTCCCGCATCACCGCGAGCTTGTACCTGGGCAATGGCACCGCTGCCAATAACAAGCTCCTGCTCTTCGCCAATCAGATCAGCACCGTCATCAACGTGTCTGTGGAGGTGGCAAACACTTTCCACCCGCACATTCAGTACCTGCACGCCCCGATCGCCGACAGCCCCGCTTTCCGTATCTGTGATTACTTTGACCCCGTGGCGGACAGGATCCACGCTGTGGACGTGCAGCAAGGCCGAACGCTGCTGCACTGCGCTGCGGGGATCAGCAGGTCGGCCACCCTGTGCCTGGCCTATCTGATGAAGTACCGCTCCATGTCTCTGGTGAATGCCCACGCCTGGGTCAAGTCTTGCCGCCCCGTTATCAGACCCAACTATGGGTTCTGGGAACAGCTCATCCAGTACGAGTATAAACTGTTTGGTACAAACACAGTCCGCATGATCAGCTCTCCGCTGGGAATGATCCCCGATCTCTATGCGGACGAAGTGAGGATAACTATAGCTTTCTGACCGTAGCTGGCTTTACAACATCTGGTCAAGGAGCCCCGAAGGAAAACTAATCATCGACGTCTAGATCATGCTTGGAACTTGGAAAATAAACTCATTAGACCAGCAAGGGCTGCAGCCTAGAGCTCCCTGCTGCTGCTAAAAATAGAGGAGATTAGCTGATAAGGAGTAGGCTTTGAGTTTTTAATATAAATAAAACCAACAAAATGTAATCTATGCAGTTAGAGGTTCACCTATCAGTCGTATTGGGCTCTGGCGGGAGCTTTGGGAGCTGTGTTAAAGCTACAGCCTGTGTTTAGAAAGTGTCCTTTTATCCCCATGTAGCCAGATGTTGGCAGGCTCCAGCTCTGTGTTCTGCAGTGGATACCAGCTGCAACTCAGCATCTGGAAAGTTGCCAACAGTATTGTTTTTCTGACTTAGAATCTGATCTGGTTTGACAAACTGCCCCCAAACCCCTTCCCATTGCTGCACTGCACAGATCCTAGGAATGGAGCAAGTCACTGCATCCCACATCATAGAGATGTGAGGAGTCCTTTCCTTTTCTGATATTATCCCCTCCTCTTATTACCTCCAACTCTTTTGCTTGAGGACAGCTGAGCTGATCTCCCTTCAGAGAGAGCCGTACCATTTAGGGAAGGTGCTGTTCGAGACCCTGATTTCTCCCATACCTGTAACTTCTCCTTAAGGTGCTTCCTTTGCAGCAGTGCCATCCTTCAAAGGGAGAAAGGAAGCCAGGGTGTTGTAGGGATGGTGATGATTACCTGAAGATCAGCACCCATCCTAAAAATGAGAGGCCTGATTCCCTGAGATTCTGGGCATTTAGCTCAGCAGCTGTCAGGACCAGACCCTATATTTTTAATGTTTATCACTGCACAGTGAATTCATCAGGCCATTGCTCTGGTTGTTTTGGCTTGGACCATGACAGGTGCTGTTTCTGTTGGTAATTATTTGGTTTAGCATCTGAGACTTGGGATGGCATGGAGTACCTCCTTGTTTTTAAAGGGAAGATCTGTTTAGTCTCAAGACCTGAGAGTTGTTACAGAAAATGAAGGACACCATGTCCACTACAAGACCTCTCTAACCTGGCTAGTGAAGGTCTTTCACAGCTTCCTGTAAGTATCAGAAGTGTAACCTTATGTCTACTTGTTTCCAACACAGACTTTAACCATGCTCTTGAACTGTATAACAGCTCTGCTGCAGGGCAAGGCAGAAGCATGGGTCAGGGACACTGTCCAGTCTTATTCAAGGTGCTGAAACTTGTGCATCTTGGAGACTGTAACAGGGGGCCTTCTCGGGGCCGATTTCCCAGTAGCCCACCCACCTGTTTCTGGGCTAACCCCCCGCCTTCTCGTCTGCCACACCTTGTTGTTAATTATTTAATTGACGTTAATAAAGCAGGAGGTGCCCATTTCTTGCCCCGATGCCAGGGGGCGCTAGCTGCAGCTCCCTTCCTCCCCTACACCACAGCTCAAGCCTCGCAGATGGCATCCAGATGTTATCAATATCACCGGCCCCACACTAGGCCCCAGAATCCTGGTCTTTGAACCCCACCTGTATCCCTCCATTCAGGCATCCTATTCTGCCTTCATTCCAGGCTACATAGCTCCCTGAGCTGCTTCCCCCTTATGGGTGTAGTCCCCCCGGGACCTTTGGCTCACTGGCCCTGGCCCACCTCCAGGCCAGTCAGAACCCCAGGTCCTCGGCTCTTGGGCATCCCTCGCGGTGGGCCCCCAGCCCTTCGACCCTTCCGGTCCTGGCCTCAGCATGGACCAGTCAGGGGATGGGGGGATGTCAAGACAGGTTAAGAGGCTATGGCACTACTCTCTCTCTGGGGTCAACCTTCTAGACCCTACAAAGGGGGTAACCCGCCCAGTTATGGGGGCTAGGGGTTAAGGCACCCTGACCCGCTTTTCACCAGGGTGGTAACTGGCCTGGCATTTCCTGGGGGCACCCGCACCACTGAGAGCCCCACCAGGCCACCCACTCTTGGCAGGGTGCAGTTTTAGGTTGTACCCAAGTCCAGGAGCCTCCTGACCATCCCCTACAGCTCCTCCCTTACCTCAGGAGATGTTGTTGCCTTGCCTCCCAGCAGCAAAATACCCTGTTTTATGGGCAGCCCTGAACCTAAAATGGCTGCCCTCATCAGGCACCTGCCAGCTGCTGTCTTTTGGCCCTTGAAGTGGCAGGCACAAACTGCCCTGCCACTGAGACCTTTGACATTTCAGCCCTATTTGATTGACGTATAGCTGATCCACACATGAAATTCTTGCAGTGGTGCAAAATTACTATGCCACTTCCTATGATAATGCTGTTGCAGTGCAGTGGTTAGTTCTCCAGTGCAATCCTGCAGTTCCCCTGCCCACCCAGGAAAGATAGTTCAGGCCAATCTGGTGAGCGATTTGCATGCAGGTCTGAGCGCAGCCAAAACAATAGGAACAGAGCTGGTCTCAGCCCACTGCATGTCTCAGCTTCTCAGCTCTTGCCTTGTTTTCCCAGCAGCCAATCCCATGTGCAGCAATAAGGAATGCTACAATGATCCAATTCAAACTTTAAGACCATTATAGAATGTACGTTTAAATGTTTGGTAAGGATTTCGCTACATCGCACACACAAATTGATGGTTAATCTACAGATACCCGCTTTAGGGTGAGGAGAATGTCACTGCAGTCTGCTTTTGGCTTCAACAGTCATCCACATTCCTGAGATCTGAATAAAGGAAGACAGACCAGGGCATGTGTTATTGAAATGCACAGTACAGCTGGCCTTCCCCTCCATAGACCCAGGCAAATTTACTGCCTTCCTTTTATGTCACAGGCCAGCTGGGGACTGTGAGGATATCAGCCCCTGGGCTGTTTGGTTCAGGATCGAGGAGGCAGAGTTCGAGAGTGAAGCAATGGTAAATTTATTATAGCTTACACGCACACAACAGTTAACAGAAAGATAAATGCAATAAGCAGATAATACAGTATTAAAGCGCTAATAGTAAATAATAACAGATAATAACAACAGATAGATGGATCAATCTGTCGTAGGCCAGCTGGGCACTGTGAGGGTATCAGCCACTGGGCTGTTTAAAACAACAGATAGACAGACATGGGTTGGCAACTTATCAATAGTCCCTCAATGCCAGGTGCACGCCAGGTGATTCCAGCAAAGTCAGGCGTCCCCGATCGACGCTGTCAGAGGGATTACCAGGGAAGATCCCTTGATCAGGATGCAATCCTCACTCACACCGGGAGTCCGGGTCTGGGCTTGGAAAAGTAACTACCGTCCTGTTCCCTCCTTCCTGCTGGTCACCTGACGCACATGCTTTTTATACTTAGTCTTATGCTAATCTGTTGGCTTTAGAGCCACTCACAATCTTGCCCTATAGCTGTTACCCTATGGGATTAAAAGGTGTTAAAAATTATTATAAAAGGTTACTACCCAAACTTGGGTTTATCCAATAAGCAAATTACAACGCAGCATTTTCAGGTTTGAAATTAACATTACTCCGCCTAAATCCAACCCCTTTAGATCTCTCTGACTATGCTTTTTGAGACGTGCTTTCCTGGAATGTGCTGGGTATGCCAGGCGGTTGAATCCAGTTTTTATCATCAAGGCTGAATTCTGAGCAAAAAACTGTTAGGTTAGCTAATCTTACAGCTATAGCTTTGTTTTTGAGGTCTAGTCAGTTTCACAAACAGTTACAAGTTACATTTGCGGGTTAAAAACTTACAAGCTTTTTATTAGACAAAAATTCCAAATGCCTCTAAGAAGCACATATTTATTGCCTATTAATTTCTTTGGTTCTGGCCGTCACACTCATAGTGAGCCAGCTTCACTCATCCCTGCTGAATAGCAGACCAGCCATTGGTTCATCCACTGTATGAGGTGAAAGAAAGTCAGGAAACTCAGCAGGCTGTATGGAGGAGTCTAAGGAGATGTCCTCTGCCTGAGCCCCAACAGCTCTGACCTCTGTATCCTAAAGCAAGACTGTTCAACCACAATACAAAACCAGCAAAGTCACCAAACAAGCAAGATAATTACACTTCATTCATCTTCCAGCCAAACAGCTGCTGACTCCTACCGCAGTGTCTACAGGCATGATGGCAGAGCACGTAACAGGCTTAGGCCCCCACTAGCACACAAACAGCTTTTCATGCAACCATAGCACCACTCAAAATGCACAACAGGCCAAACCATCATGTGAATAGTTGTAACTCACTCTATTGCAGACATAATGCTCCTGCTGCAGGAAACAGTACTAGATCCAGCAATCTTGAGGCCCTGCAACACTGCCAGTGAGTACTTTAAGTCCATGTAGGACAGAGTGCTCCTTGCACAAGCTTTCTGGCTTGGATGCAAAGAACCAAGCAGTTCTGTTAGCAATAATATAATCTTTGATGGAGATATACCCTAAGGGCATGTCCCTACAAGCATGCACATACAGGGGCATGCATTTCCCATGGGACAAATAGCAGCGGCATATATTTATGCCATTGCTATTTGTCCCCCAGGCACACCCCTGCTTCCGTGCTCTGGTGTGTGGCAAAGGGACCTGTATGGGATAAGGAGGCTGGGGCCAGCACCTGTGCTAACTCCAGCATCCTTACCTAGAGTCCTGTGGGCATTGTGGGGCAGCTGTGCACTGAGCCAGCTGCTCAGAGCCTAGCTGGCAGCCAGACTGTGGCTCCTGCTGGCCAACACTGGTTTGTAGCGGTGCACACTGCTGCCACATGTGCCATGCTACTTTTTAGCAGCAACTTTTTTTTGACAATGGGATCTCCTGGTGTCAAAAAAAGGCGGCATTGCAAATTAGCAGTGCAGCACACAGGTTAACATGCACCATATGTAGTTTGCGGCATCTCAAAAGGCTTTGAGGCACTGCAAACCACACTTGCATGCTTGTGGGGATGTGCCCTAAGAGGTCACCATGTTTTAACTGTCCCTGAAGGCAGCCATAGAATCAGGCCCTCACGTGTGGTGTTTTCCTGAGTAGTTTGCCAGATAGCTACACTGAGAAAGAGAGCAGCTGCCTAGCTTCTGTGCTCCTGTAGGAGAAGGCTTCATTATTTTAGAACTAGGGAAGATATGTCCAAGAGATAGGAGTCTAGGCTTCTTGGTTGTGGGAAGAGAGGCAGCTGGAAGGGTCTGAATTTCCTGAAAAAGGCTGGCAAATGAAATAGGGGTTGCTTGATTGTACATCATCTTTCATGTCACAGAGC